ATAGATATATATATATACAGTATTGAACAAAGAAGTCACATGACTGAAACTTGCGAAACTTAGAAGAGGTATCTAGGCACCCGGGGTGTTGGTTTAGAGTAGGATTGTTTTGTTCAATTAAGATGTATTCCTTGATTTTTCGTTTGTTTATGTTGGGTTCTTTGTTTAAAATTACTGTGTTTTTAATAGATATACTATGTTTTTTTGAGTTGCAATGGTGAAAAACATGAGACGGTTTTTTATTGTGTTCTGTCAATCTGGTTTCCAATTTTCTTCTTGTTTCTCCGATGTAGAATTCCGGACAGTTATTGCATTTTATTTTGTAAATGACGTTAGTATTGTGTGATTCTAAATAATTTTTGTTTAGTAACGATTTTAATTTAGGGCCAGGTTTTAGTGAGAATTTGACGTTGACAAGAATATTGTGTTTAATGGCTAGTTTAGTCCAAGTGTGGATAATTCTTGAGCTGGTTTTAGGAACAAAAGGTAAACTGCAGTTAATGTACTGTTGTTGGGTTTGTTAGTGTCAATTTTGTTTGTGAGTTGAGTTTTATTGTGGGGAATGTTGGAGAGCTTTTCAACTATATCTGGTGGGAATTTATTGGTGTGAATAAAAGAATGCTTTAAGTGGTTAATTTCTTCATTTATGTAGTCCATTGAACAGAGTCTTGTGGCTGTGTTTATGAAGTTTTTAAGTGTATTGATTTTTTGTGTGGTGTCATGAGCGGAATTCCAGGGGATGTAGAGAACAGTGTGTGTGTTTTTGCGATAAATTTTCGTTTTAAACTGTGTGTCAGATCTAATAATTTTGAGGTCAAGAAAGGATAACTGTTTATTGATTTCGTGTTCTATGGCAAATTTGATATTGGGTTGAATGGAATTTATGTGTTTAAAGAAAGTTAGTGTGTGTTCTGTAGAAGTGAAACCAGCAAAAGTGTCATCGACATATCTGTACCAGTATAGTGGGAGATGAAGCGCAGAATGTATGGCTTGTGTTTCGATCTGGGTCATGAATATATTAGCAAGAACGGGCGAAACAGGATTGCCCATACTTAAACCGTCTATTTGAAGGAAGTGTTCGTTGTTGAAAATGAAGTTGGTTTTAGTCGTTGCAAATCCTAAGAGAGAAGCAAAAAGTGTGCTGGGGATGTGCATTAACTTGTTGGGATTATTAATGTAGAGGTTGAGTGCAATATTGCAAGCTTCATTGGCGAGGACGGTGAAGAGTGACACGACATCAAAACTAGCCATTAAGGCTTTCGAATTTACCTGTTCTAGTGTATATTTGAAATTGAAGGCATCTTTAAAAAAGGAACCTCGTCACCGAATACTAATAGACACCCTCTTGTGGCGCGTCGGTTATATTTATAGCCGTGGGAAGGTTTTCTAGAAAATTCAGTCTTACGTAACAATACTGAGCTACATTTAAACGTTTAATTATATACATATATTGTTGATTCTTACTCTCGAGAATCTTCTACAACTTTGGAGAATAGGCGGGAGTTTCGCAGTACATATCTAACACTATAAGCTGGCATGTTTTTAAATATAAACTCACTCCAAACAAACATTGATATTCAACTAAATATATAATAACAAATTCGTTACAGTGATTAATAATACTATATTTTATCAAATATATTTTTCTTCTCGTGTACAACTATACAAATAAGTATTTACCAAATTTTATAAAACATATTTCTACGTGGATTCCAAATAATTTAACTTCGTAATACCATTATATAGGATATCATTTC